GCTGCTTTATATGTTTCTGGAAATGGAGGTGTATTCTGGGGTCGGTTTGATGTCAGCTACAGCAGGTGATTTGAGCAACACTCTTCTCATGTATTTGTGTATGTGTGTGTGTATATGTATGTATGTATATTTGTGTGTAGCTATCTATATATATATATATATGAAACTTTATTTTCTTTGCAGATTTAGTGTGGGAGAAGGTCAGATCTAGCTGGCAGAAACCCTTAGGGAAGAAGCAAAGAAAATGGAGGAATTCAGGGAAAAGCAAAAACTGCATCGGAAGAAGGTCAGGGTGTTGATCCATCACCATCCTTGGGGATGGATCCTGGCTCCTGGCTCGTTTCTCCCACCATGCCCTAGCACCCTGCATGCTCCCAGTGCCTGCCGCTGCTAGGAAGTCCTGAGCTCCTTCCTATATGTAGAAATTCTGCTGTGGAACCTCTGACTTCCTTCATCTGACGGCCACATTTTCTCCTTTGGGTGCCTTTTGGGGCTGGCTATCGCAGGGGTCACCTCCAGAGACACCAGCCTCAACCAGGAATTTTCTTAAAGCACATATATATATCTTTTTATATAAATAGTGTTGCGTGCTGTCCATAATGTTTGCTAAAATTGGCATGCCTGTTAACCTCTTCTGGCTTGAGATACCTTTGTCTGGAATATGAGGGGAAAGTGCTGCAGGTTTTGAGGTAGCAGAAAGGAGTGGGCTTCCCAATTTTCCTAGTTTCTATGGAGGATACAGTACTGTATATTGGTGGATTTCATGAGTAGAGTTCCATTGCATAGAGAGGTGTAGGCTTAGCTATTAGTGTAGATGTTGGGTTTTGTGAAGATGCTTTGGGTGGACATAGGTCCTTAAGGCCACCTGAGTTTGGCCTGTGCCTCTTCCTCTCCTAAGCCACATAGTCCATCGTGGAGCTTTGATGGTCAGTGACGTGTTGACTCTAGCTCTGTTGTCTTCACAGATAAGAGCTGATAATGGAGGCAATTCACAAAACAAGGAATCTGCACTATGAAAAGACCATGGCAGTAAAGCAACCCTGCTGCTCTTTCTTGCTATATGGTTTAACACTGCTAACATACGAGCACACTGCTGGCAGAGTATTAAATATGAGGGTCTTCCTCTGCTGCAACTCATGCAGACACTACATCAAGAGCTGCAGCAGAGGAAGACCATCACATTTAAGTCTGTATAGTGTGCTCTGAAAACCTGAAGAGTACACCAGGGACATGGCTGGTGGCAGCCTTGCACGGTTGGATAAGAGTGATTTAGATGTCAAGGACTCGATTGCTATGAGCTTTTCATGCCAAATGAAGAGCAGCTTGTCTTGTGAGGTCAGTTTTGCTCAAGCTGTAGGGCGCTTGAAGGCCTTGTATGCTGTTCCCTGCTCTGCTGGCAGCCTCTGTCCACCTCTTCACTTGGAGGCTGTGTTTTCCTCCAGAGCTAGCTGCATGAGTTGTCATAGCAACTCATTGCTTGCTAACATGCTCCTGCCCTGTTTGTTTGCTCTCCTAGGCCTAGCGCTTTTATGAGCAGCTCTGCAGGGATAAGAATGAGGCGGAAGAAGTTGTAACCCACAACACAAATGTGATGACAGAGAAGCAGCAGGAGAAGTTATAGAGAGTTGGGTGGCCATGGGACAGGTGGAGGAAGGGTGTATGTTCCTGGAGCTCTCCTGCCCCATAACTCTTCTCCCAGCTCTGGGTTTGGGGATGAGATGGAAAGGCCAGCAATGTTCTCTAGCTGGGCTTCAGTTCCGTTGGTGATACATATCGACTCTCCTGTAGCTTTCTTCTCTCTCCCAGTTTTTACAGCTGTTCCTCAATCTGGCGCAGACAAAATCATCTCTGGAAGATTCTGGTGAGTGTGGAAATGCAGGCTTTGGAGGGTGAGGGGAGTGTTTCCTGCGGCAGGGGTTCTGAAGCCATGGCATGGTTCTCGAGTGAGCTGCAGCTACTGTGTCAGTGCTTGCTCCTCAGAAACTCATGCCCAACACAGCAGAGGTGGAGCTCACTCCAGAGCCATACCAGGGCTTTACATCCCACTTCCCATTTCTCACCGTTTCGCTGTGGCATGGCCCTCCAACTTCCTGTACAGCTCTGCATTCCCTTGAAGTGCCCATCCATAGCTGAGCTCACACATTACTGCTTTCTCCCTGACGTCCCTGTAATTCAGGTTTCATGTACTGCCTTCTAACAAAGGGTGTTTTTAATTAATGTTAATCAGATGACAGTGTGATTTGTCTCAAAGGCAGGAGTTACCAGCAGAGCGTTACCACACTGGAGAAGATCCAGGAAGAGGGACCGAAAGAGAACGTCAAAGCTTGTGCGGTAAAAGCACTAAAATGCCTTTACGTGGCAGTGTGGTCCTCTGGATGTCTGCTCCTCACTGCAGGGTTCCAGGATGACACAGATCTGCCTTCTCTGTGTTCTCTGGTAGCTAAGCAGCAGAACATGTTGTAGCTAACCCTGTGTGTGTGTTTGGCTTCCCTTCTGAATTTAAGGTCCCACCACTTAAAGGTTTCCACTATTTTTTTTGTTTTTATTTTTCCTTCCACTATCTTTTCAAAGTAACAGAATCAAAGTAGTGACCTTATTACCCATTAAGCTGCTTGCGCGATTGGTGTGGCCATTATCCTGAACAGCCGTAGTCACTTATGGATACTCAGTGGCTTAAGGCCAGTGTGTTTTACAGCCAGGACACCACCTAGCAGACTCTGAAACTCTGAAGGACTTTAAATAAATTTGCAGCAGAAGGTACTGGCGCACTGGGGATGCAAGCTGGGTGAAGCCATCTCCATGTAAACTCGGTGTGCCAGCAGCCCTTCACCATATATCTCATGTGGTAGCTTGGGAACCCCTCTGAGCGGATGTATCAGTGTAAAGCAGACTGTCTTATAGCAAAATGGTCTAGTCAGTATTTCCAGGAAGTGCTAGGGAAGTCCAGAGCTGGTGGTGAGAGGATTGTGATGCTGCTCTGCTGCTGAGCTGTGTTTTGCAGCTGTCTGTGATGTGTAACCAAGGGTTGAAGGAGGTAATTCGGCTCCTCTACTCTGCTCTCGTAAGACCTCACTTGGAGTACTGCGTATAGTTCTGAAGTCTTCAACATAAAAAGGACGTGGAGCTGTTGGGGCGAGTCCAGAGGAGGGCCACGAGGATGACAAGGGGGCTGGAACACCTCCCACATGAAGACAGGCTGAGAAAGTTGCAGCTGTTCATCCTGGAGAAGGTTTCGTGAAGACATCCTAGCAGCTTCCAGTAAGTGAAAGACACCTAAAGGGATACTCTGGAGGGGACTCTTCGTTAGGGACTGTAGTGATAGCACAAGGGGTAATGGCTTCAAACTTAAACAGGGGAAGTTTATGTTAGATGTAAGATAGAAGTTCTTTACTGTGAAGGTGGTGAGGCCCTGGAATGGGTTGCCCAAGGAAGTTGTGAATTCTCCATCCCTGGCAGCGTTCAAGGCCAGGTTCGATGCCATCTTGGGTGGCATGGTTTACTGCGAGGCGTCCCTGCCCATGGCAGGAGGGTTGGAATTAGATGATTTTAAGGTTCTTTCCAACCCTAACTATTCTATGATTCTGTGATTCTATGGACAGGAAGTGCAGAGGTTGAGGTTTTATCCCATGTCTGCTGCAAGCTTGCAAACAGCAAGTCATAACAAGTGCATACATACACGTGGGATCAAAGGCTGTCACTCAGGCATGAAATGGAGCTATACCAGACAGCACATTTCAAAAGACTTGGGCTTAAAGCTGCTTGGAAAAGGGATGGGCAGGAAAGAGAGAGAAGACAAACGAGTCAAGACACTTTGCTTTCATAGATCCCCAATGCTTTTTTATTACTCCATAGCTGTGGGAGAGAAGTCAGCTGGGACTGCAGGACCATGGGGTACCCAGGAAACATGCAGTGCCTTTAGGAAGCTGGCTTTGTCTCTCCAGAGGTAGTGGTGTGCTGAGTGACCCCTTCCGCATGGGTCCTGCAGACCTTCCTGAACTCAGTGCTCATCTTTGAAATATCTGGCTGTGTAAAGGGATGAGTTCTTCTCTGGACGAGGCCTTTTCCAACCTAGTTGGTTCTATGATTCTATGACTCATGGTTACCATGTTTCCTGCAGAAGACCAGCATCACCAACTGCTTGCTGTGGACAGAGATCTTTGTAGTGGGATGAGAAGAGATCAGAAGAGAGGAGATTTGCTCTCTTCTTACAGATGTTAGGGCGGGTTTGTCTGTGTCGTTTGAGTTCTTTGAGACCCAGGAGTGCAAGCGGATCAACTATTTTCGCAATGCCCTCTGGCTTCATGTCAGGCCACCAAGACGTGCCTTGGTATCAGGTCTCTGTAAAGCTCAGGCTGGCCTAACCTCTTGCCTTCCCACCAGCTCCCGGAGGGCAGTTGGGGAGCACTGAGCCAGGGCACTGGGAGTCCCAGAGCCACGCAGATCTTCAGCTCTTTCTTTTCTAATGTGCAGAAGGGCACCTATACCCATCCCGACCAGTGCACCAGAATTACTTGCTTTATCAGGTTTCTGGCTCCACGGAAGAAACCTGCTTTTGCTCTTCCCCATCAGATCATGAGCTTTAGCTCTCTAAAGGGAATGGTTTAGATGAAGTCTGGTCCCCCCTGAAAGATCCTGAGAAGCTGGACTCTGACTTCGGAGACAAGGTTTCACTAAGCAGTAGTTCTGACCAAAGCCCTCTATGTAGGCATTTGTGGACCTTAAGGATGTCCAAGCTTGGGATCCCACCAGTCTCTGCAGTTTGGGCCTTTCCCTCATTCAACACCATGAGCTATATAATTCCCTGTGGCACTTTAGTGATGGAACTTGGTAAAATGCCTTGGTTGTTCGGCAAATCATAGAATCATAGAATCAAGACGTCTCTTTCAGCCTCATCCACCATTGCCTTCCATCCTTTTAACACAGGTGGTCAGTGTTTCTGTCTTGTGTAGAGTCTTGTAATGAGCACTTCTCATAAGCAGACCTTATTATTTTGTGCTCTCTGTTTCAGGTGAGCCTGCTTATGCCACAGTTGACGGCTACATCCCTAGATGCTGTTGATCCTGTTTGTAGGTTCTCCAGGCAGAAGACACTGTTGGTCTGGCCAGTGTGGTGATGTTTCCAGTTACTCCCAGCTGTGAGGGAAATAGTGTAGTTTTTGCATAACTGGGGATGGGGCTTTACAATAGTAAGACTTTCAAATCTTAGAGCTTTAGGATCAATAGTAAGGCTTTGCAATAATGAGAGTTTTCAATACTAGGTCTGGCATTAAGTTCCTAAGGCAATGAAGGAAAGGGTTTGAGATATAATTATTCAAATAGACACGCTTTGTGGTTAAAGACAGTGCCATCTCTAGATGAAAGACACAATTTGTGGTTAAAACGAATACTTTCTAAGTACAGCCTATGAAACTAAACCGGTGCAGGCTGGTTAAACTGCAATTTGTGGTAACTATTTATACCCAGAGTATTATCTTCAACCATACTGGGAATCACCTTTTCCTGAGTGGAGTGATGTTTGGTTTACAACTGGCTTTAATGGGTGGATCTCACCCAGTGCTTAGAGAAAATCTCTAAAATATAAAGTTAAGATGTTTAAAGGTCACTTAAAATTTGAATGTGGGGTGTTAAGAGTGTGGTCCCATGCACTTGCTATTGCAAGTGCTGGAGGGGCAATAAGCCAAGTTCATGGCCTGGGGGCAGATGTGACAGGAGGGGATTCAATTGATAGATTTGCAATAGTGACTTGGGAGCCAAAGAGGAACAACTGTGGCCAGCCTGTGGACACTACTATTCCTCCATCGGTGGAGATATGGGCTCCAAAAAATAATGCCAAGATAGAAACAGGATATAGAAATACAAATTCCTGGGTAGAATGGGTCAAATATACAGTGAAAATAGAATAGATTTAGATACATTAGCTGAAAAAGGGGAAGTATGCATAATGTTAGGGAATACGTGTTGCACATTTATTCCAAATAATACAACACCAGATGGAGCCATAACCAGGGCTTTTCAAGGCCTCACTACGTTGGCAGAAGAACTGGCTGAAAATATGAGAACAGGTATTTCATTAACAGGATGGATAGAATCCTGATTTGGAAAATGGAGAGCAATGGTGATACCAGTTTTTACTTCTGTAATTGTAGTAGCAGGTGTCTGAATAGCTATAAGGTGCTACATAATTCCGTATATAGGAAGATGTGTACAACGTCTTGAAACAACTTTGTTCAAACAAACGCTCATGGGACCACCACCCTACTCGGATGAAATGCTTTAGATTAAAAAAAAAAAAATACAAAAAATTTGAAGATGATCAGGATGACTTATCTGTAGACCAAAACTGTGAAGTTACGTTATCCAGACTGAAAGCGACATATGGGGTAAGGCTTTAGAGAAAAAAACCAAACCCAGTATAAATAAGGGAAAGGGGGAATTGTGAGAGAAAGAGTGTTGTTTTTGCATAAGTGGAGATGGGGCTTTGCAATATTAAGGCTTTCCACTATTAGAGCTTCAAGATCAATAGTAAGGCTTTGCAGTATTAAGAGTTTTCAATACTGGCGCTGGGGCTAAGTTACTAAGGGAACGAAACAAAGGGTTTGAGATCTAGTAACTCAAAAAGATACACTCTGAGGTTAAAGCCAATGTCATCTCTAGATGAAAGATATACACCTTGGTTAAGAAAAATATTGTCTATGTACAAACTAAGCTGGTGCAGGCTAGTTAAAAAGTAAGTTGGGGTACCACATGTCTGCCAAAGACTTGCAAAATTGAACCGGAAAATGATTATGTGGTTAATAATGATGTGGTTAAGAAATAAAAGGAAGGGGAGTACAACGTCGAGTAAGGGGAGGTATAAACAGAGGTGGGAAAGTTAGCACAGGTTATAAGCACTGAATAGGCTGTAAACCTTGGAGTACCCAACCAACCGGGAAACAAGGGAGGGATCTTGTGGATGGGATAGGAAATACAAATCATAGTTCTGCTTTTGCTGTGTGTGCTGTGCTTGCTAGGACACCCGTTTTTTGCAAAACCATTAATAAAGAGCTGCTTCACTGTTGTGTCTACCCTGAGCTTAAGATTTTACCGAGAGACCATTTCTCACAGCAGCCACACAGAGCTGAAGTGCTTCTCCGTTTCAGCAAAGTATTTGAGGTCTGAGATAATTATCTGCACACTCAGAAAGTGCCTATTACAAATCTGTGCCTGTGATCAGCAAACTGCTTGGACAGATATGGCATGTTCACATTCGGGGGAAGAAAAGGAGTCTTAAGTGATGGACCCAGACGCAGGGGCCATCTGTGTCAGAAGAAGTTTTTGATTTGAGATTCTTTTAAAGTGCTGCCATCTCAAAAGAGGCTGGAGATAACCAAGAAGTCATATGTGCTGAGGGGAGTGCTGCACAATGCTTTGGGAAACTGGCTAATGTTTAGGGCATATATATCCCACTCAGATCTCAGGTTAAGCTTCCCTGTTTCTCAAGTTCTTCATTAATGGTGATTAAGCTTGTAATGTAGGTTTCATTTTGGCCACGTCTTTCAGGGAGCTCACTTAGAGGTGCACCAACAATACACTACGTGTCTGGCTTAGCTGTGATTGTGCTTTAGGTTTAAGTGCTGATACTGGAAGCTGATTTGCATCTTCCCTGGTGTAGCAGGCCACAGCACAGCTACCCAGTGAGAGGCTGTGCTGCCACAAACCTGCACCCTGCAGTGTTGCTGAGGATCTGGAGAAGTTGGTTAGCTCTTCAACCACCTCTCCAATGAGGGGCTTGCAGATTTTTAGGTTCATGGTACAGCTCATGGCTGGTAGGCTCCACAGACCCTCATTTGATTAACTTCTGGTAAAGAAGTCCCTTGGACTTGTTGTGACTAGGCACCACTGGAAATAAACTTAGTTATTAATGTTGGGCTGGAGCCCTGAAACTCATTTCCTGACCATATCTCCCAAAGTTCTTACTTTTTTTGTTACTATATGTGTGATCACAGCTTTGATTCAGAAACTCATGTGCTGCAGGACTGCTGGTCTTTCTCATATCCTCATGTACAGCATTGCTTAAGAAGCTCCTCAGTGCCTTATGACACAGTGATGGAGGAGAAGGGAACCAGCACACAGTTCAGCTGTTTAAACCTGGTGACAGTTGCCTTAACTTCGGAGAAAGGGGAGTTGCTGATGTATGATATTCTTCAAGTTGAATCTGCGTGACTTCAGTGCATGTCTAAGCCAAACAGTCCCCAGAGCTTATACTGTATTTCCCTGTACAGAGTAGATGGCAGTGAGCTTAAACGTCTCTCCTGATGCATTACAATGGACTGTGGAAAGTGCACATGCCAAGGAATCGGTTTTCCATTCTCATTTCTGAAAGACCAAGTGTCGAAATATTCTCCAGAAGGACCCTGCTGTAGTCTTAGTTCTCACACACATCTTTTATGATTAAGTTTTGAGACTTGTGTGGTGACTATCTTTCTTCTGAAAGATGTCATACTGACTTTTTTGCCTAGGCTAGGGCTGGTACACCTTCAAGGCACCCTAGGATGTTCAAGTTCCTTCTCCTGGGAGGAAGCCTCCAAGAGCACGTCCTTCCTCAGCCTTTACTTCCTACTTGCTCAATACCACGACAGCTCTGGGACAGAACACACTAAGACTACAGCCTCCACAAAGGCCCTACAGTCAGTCTGAATTTCCCCACAGGCCTCTCTAGAGGGCTCTCTCCTCCTCTCAGACACCCATAGAAGTGAAAGTCCTATCAAGAGACCCTGATAACCAGCTGCACAGATCCTGCCTCCCCGCTAAGGACAGAGAGGCCACAGCTGCTTTAATAAGACAAAATACGAGTAGGGATACAGGTAGCATGTAAATCTTATGTCACTTCAGATGCTGGGCATCCTGCCTCCAGGCAGAGTTAGAGCTCTTCCTTTTTGGTGCTATGAGCTAATACATAAAGAATCACAAGAAAGCAGCATTAGTCATGAAGGAAATTTACATGAGAACTTCTTGCTGCATTTCCAGACCAGCCCTGTGCCTGTTCAGGGGATCACCAGCTCTATAATGTGCAATGGGCTCCTGGTCAGGATCATCTCTGCCTTGACCCACACACAATTTACCTTTCCTACAGGTATTAAAAATGACAGATGATGTTGATAACAAAGGGTCTACTCAAGGGCAAAGTACAAGGCCTAAGAGAGTGAACATTACCTGTTCAAGATCATTAGGACTTTGACTACAATGTCTTCTGCGAGGAGGGACTGAGCTCTGCAGGGACTCATCCATCTGGGGACTGGCTGAAATCAGTTCTGCTCCAGTCGGGCATGGCCTGGGCTCCAGCGGTGGCTCCCTGGGGCAGCTGAGCACCTGAGTAGGGATCAAAACGGTCAGTGATGCCTGGTTCCCCAGGCTGAGACTGGAGCCCTGCTGTGGCTGGAGATGCCTCAGGCACTGCACACAGGCTGCCCCGCTCTGGTGGCACTTCCGGGTCCTGCTACTGCACAGGTAGAAAGAAGAGAACTCACACTGCCCAGCCTCAGTAGTAGGGGCTTGGTTTCTTACCTCGCATTCCCTGTAGCAGCAGCTTGACCTCCCCACAGACATCTGGCCTTGCCCCAGACTCTTATGGAGGAGACTCCCTCCCAACCCCCCTTCACCCGGGGGCATTATAGGAGAGCCTGGCCCCTCCACAGGTCCGTAGAAGGGAACCTGGCCTCCTCCTAGTGTCCTGTAGATGATCCTTGCCTCCCTGCCACTCTGTTTACGGGGATCCTGGCTACTCCCTTATAGAGAACGTTGGATTCTGCCCCGGTTCTTAGAGATGATCCTGGCTTCCCATCCGGTCCTCAGCAGGGGAACTTACCTCCCTCCCAGGCTCCTATAGAGGAGCTTGGCCTCCACACAGCACTTTATGAAGGATTCTCTTCCGATCCTCATCTCAAACACTTATGGAGGGGCCCGGCCTCCCCACAGGATCCTATGGCGTAATCCGACCTCCCCCCACACCCTTACTAGGGAACCTGGCCTTCCCATATCTGAGCCTATGTGTGAGCCTACACCAGGCCCGCTCCCCTCCTGACATGAGGCCTGCCTCACCCAGGCCTGGCGGCCATGCTCCGGCTCCCAGCTCTGCGTTCTGTGCTGAGTCCTTCCGTGCTTCACGTAGCCACCGCGCTGCTGACTGGAGGGGAGCGGGTGGGGGCGGTGTCAATCTTCCCCCGCTTCCGCCCGCAGTAGCCGTGGCTGCGGCTTGGTGGTGCTGCAGAGTATGGCCATGGCGGAGGCCGTGAGGGGGCCCCACAAGGCCCGCCCCAAGAGCAGTCCCAAGGTCCGGGGGGGAAGGCGGGGATTGGCTCAGGGTGAGGTTCCGCCGGTCCTGGTCCGGGCTGGCTCCGCCGCCTGTCGGCTGTGGTGGGTCCGGCGAGCTTAGAGCGGAGGGGAGGGGTCTGCGGTGTTGTTACATGCCATGGTGTGTTCGTCAGCACTTTGTCTCGTGTTTGGGGCTATTCCTGAGTGGGTTTAAAGCGGCAGAGAGGGTGTCCGCTGCAGGCCGTGTTTGCGTCCGTGTTTGTTTGTCTGCTGCTGGAAGCGGTTAGATGGGGGGTGTGTGCCTATTTAAAAACACATTTCCCATCCCTGGCACTGTTCAAGGCCAGGCTAGATGGGGCTTAGCACAACCTGGTCTAGTGGAGGGTGTCCCTGCCTGGGTTTCAGTAGTTGTGGAATGATCTGAACTGAAATGTCTTGACTCACAGCCGGCTGAAATTGGAAATGTTTCTCTGAATTGGCTATCCCCTTCCATGTTGTACACTGCCCTCCGGAGATCAACGGCAGTGAAGTCCTGGCTGTCAAAGCCCTTTGGGAATAAACTGCTGAATTAATTCACCACTGTTCTGGAAAACAAGGTTTAGATCTAAGTGTCAGCTATGGCTGTGATTCCAGAAAGAGTTTTATTTTGTGGATGTGGTTCCATGATTTTAGTCGGTTGCAGGGCATGGCTGGAACCACGCATGAAGTCAGAGCAGAATGTTCCCACACAGGGCAGGTTTTATCTTTTCTTAAACACGGAGTTCGTTAGCACTGTGCTCATTCCCTCTTAGGCCACCATGACTGATACTGGATGCAGCAACGAGGATGGTAGTCATGCAAAGAAAGTTTTTTTGCATGCTCAGTGACAAATGTATCTGGCAAACTACTGTTTGATGACAGAATCCTGAAACCCTGCGTACGCAGCTCTGCTTCTACCTGAATCTCTTAAGATTAATATACCTCGCTGTGACACATTCTTCTGTGGTAGTGTATGATCTCTGTTTCCCAAGTCCATGTACATGATTTGAGTGATGGTGGGGTAGATGTGCAAATACATGTTCCTGTAGTATCAAGCCTGTAACTGTGGGATCTGCCAGAGGTTCCTCTGCCCTGTGATGCATGTTTAACACTTGAATTTCCCAGACTTTTCTAGGCCCTGGCCAGGATTTAGGGACTGTACTGCAATGATTCTATCACCTGAAAGGAGGTTGTGAGGTGGGAGTCTGTATCCTTTCCCATGTAACACGGGATAGGACAAGAGGAAATGACCTCAAGCTGCACCAGGTGAAGTTCAGACAGAATATGAGGAACAATTTATTCCCAGAGTGGGTTGTCAAGCACTGTAACAGGCTGCCCAGGGCAGTGGTGGAGTCAGCATCCCTGGAGGTGTTTAGAAGATGTGCAGATGTGGCACTTCGGGACACGGTGTAGCGGTGGATTTGGCAGCACAGGGTAAGCTGTTGGACACAATAATCTTAAAGGACTTTTCCAGCCTAAATGATCCCACACTTCTAATCAGAGCATCTACAAGATGATGCTTTGGCCACGTTACATTGTCCCTTTATTTCCATGTACACATGGGAGGCAGCACACCTACCCCGAGGGCTGGCACTCTGCTCTCCTGTGCTGGGTGCACTCTCTGCTGCGTGCACTCTGTGCTGCAGCCACGTTTTTCTGCTGTCCTGACTCTTGGTGAACCTCCCCAGCATGGCTCTGCTGTTGAAGCAGCTGGCTATTGATAGCTGTGGGTTTGAAACAGCTCTGGGTCTTGAAGTGTGAGCTACACTTTGCATATGGCCCTCGATGAACTTGCTGGGGTGCTGTTCTGTGGTATGGCCACTCACTTTCAGCAGGATGAGCCTGAGGGTATTTTAGCATCATTTTTTCTGTGGCCCAGCTTGACTGTGTGGTAAATTGGGGCACCTCTTTGCTTCAGGTTACTGTGTGTCGAAACCTGGCTGAATTCATGGCGGTGAGGGGCAGATGTGACTGTGCTTGTTTGCAGAACTTGATACCAGTTTTCTTAAACTGAAAGGAGGCCCCCAGCAGAACTGACGCTGACATAGCTAATGCTGCTTGGATGCCGCTTCAAAATTCCTGCTGCTTTTATATGTTTCTGGAAATGGAGATGTATTATGGGGTCGGTTTGATGTCAGCTACAGCAGGTGATTTGAGCAACAGTTTTTTCATGTATGTGTGTATGCGTGTGCATATATGTATGCATGTATATCTGTGTGTATCTATCTGTCTATTTATATATCTATATGAAACTGACGTGGCCTATTGGGTACAAGGGGGTTGTCAAAATGTACAGGGAGGTTGTCTAAATGTACAGGGGGGTACTGCTTAAGTCATAGCTGGTTTAACGAGCTCAGCAGATGTCTTATCAGACAAATACCAGAACAAAACCTCCTAGTGAGGAGAATGGGGGGTTGTACAAGGAGTACTGCTTAAATCATGGCTGGCTTGACAAGCCCAGCAGTTGCCTTATCAGGCAGCAGTAAGATAAGGCTTCCTAGCGAAGGGAATAGCTCATTAAACCAGCTAGACATGGACTAGACCCATCCAGCTCCTAAAGAGCATGCGTGAGGACCAGAGGTAAAAAGTTCAAGCCTGAGGAAGACTCGTTTACTTCATCTTGAAGACCCCTACCCACAAGAGGAAGACTACTTACTTCATCTGAAGACCCCTGCCCAAGACCAGCAGGAGGCACTGCGCATGCGTGGAGCGCCTTTTAGCTCATTATAATACGAAGCGGGGATAGAATATGAATATGTATAGGCGTATTGTGTGACCTAATACCTATGTATGACTTTACAGGATAAATGTAAAAGGAAAACGGCACTGAGGCACGCATGCCTTTTGGAGGACCAATCCCCCGTGCGTCTTCAGCTGAATAAAGCATACCTACTTTACAACTTTAACCAAGTTGTGGAGTCTATTCCACTATCACTATATATGAAACTTTTTTTTCTTTGCAGATTTAGTGTGGGAGAAGGTCAGATCTAGCTGGCAGAAACCCTTAGGGAAGAAGCAAAGGAAATGGAGGAATTCAGGGAAAAGCAAAAACTGCATCGGAAGAAGGTCAGGGTGTTGATCCATCACCATCCTTGGGGATGGATCCTGGCTCCTGGCTCGTTTCTCCCACCATGCCCCAGCACCCTGCATGCTCCCAGTGCCTGCTGCTGCTAGAAAGTCCTAAGCTCCTTCATATATGTAGAAATTCTGCTGCTGAACCTTTGACTTCCTTCATCTGACGGCCACATCTTCTCCTTTGGGTGCCTTTTGGGGCTGGCTATCGCAGGGGTCACATCCAGAGACACCAGCCTCAACCAGGAATTTCTTTAAAGCACACATATATATGTATCTTTTTACACATAGTGTTGCGTGCTATCCATAGGGTTTGCTAAAATTGGGAAGTCTGTTACCCTCTTCTCGCTTGAGATTCCTTTGCCTGGAAAATGAGGGAAAAGTGTTGCAAGTTTGGAGGTAGCAGAAAGGAGCGGGCTTCCCAATTATCCTAGATTCTGCGGAGATGATACAGTACTATATATTGGTGGATTTCATGGGTAGAGTTCCATTGCATAGACAGGTGTAGGGTTAGCAAGATGTATAAATGTTGGGTTTTGTGAAGATGCTTTGGGTGGACATAGGTCCTTAAGGCCATCTGAATTTGGCCTGTGCCTCTTCCTTTCCTAAGCCACATAGTCCATTGTGGAGCTTCAATAGTCAGTGACGTGTTGACTCTAGATCTGTTGTCTTCACAGATAAGAGCTGATGATGGAGGCAATTCACAAAACCAGGAATCTGCAGTACGAGAAGACCGTGGCAGTAAAGCGAACATGCTGCTCTTTCTTGCTGTATGGTTTAACACGGCTAACATATATGCACAGTGCTGGCGCAGTCTTAAATATGAGGGTCTTCCTCTGCTGCAACTCATGCAGACACTACATCAAGAGCTGCAGCAGAGGAAGACCATCACATTTAAGTCTGTATAGTGTGCTCTGAAAACCTGAAGAGTACACCAGGGACATGGCTGGTAGCAGCCTTGCACGGTTGGATAAGAGTGATTTAGATGTCAAGGACTCGATTGCTATGAGCTTTTCATGCCAAATGAAGTGCAGCTTGTGTTGTGAGGTCAGTTTTGCTCAAGCAGCAGGGCGCTGGGGGCCTTGTATGCTGTTCCCTGTTCTGCTGGCAGCCTCTGTCCACCTCTTCACTTGGAGGCTGTGTTTTCCTCCAGAGCTAGCTGCATGAGTTGTCATAGCAACTCCTTGCTTGCTAACATGCTCCTGCCCTGTTTGTTTGCTCTCCTAGGCCTAGCACATTTATGAGCAGCTCTGCAGGGATAAGGATGAGGCGGAAGAAGTTGTAACCCACAACACAAATGTAATGACAGAGAAGCGGCAGGAGAAGGTATAGAGAGGTTGGTGGCCATGGGACAGGTGGAGGAAGGGTGTATGTTCTTGGAGCTCTCCTGCCCCATAAGTCTTCTCCCAGCTCTGGGTTTGGGGATGAGATGGAAAGGCCAGCAATGTTCTCTAGCTGGGCTTCAGTTCCGTTGGTGATACATATCGACTCTCCTGTAGCTTTCTTCTCTCTCCCAGTTTTGGCAGCTGTTCCTCAAGCTGGTGCAGACAAAGTCATCTCTGGAAGATTCTGGTGAGTGTGGAAATGCAGGCTTTGGAGGGTGAGGGGAGTGTTTCCTGCGGCAGGGGTCCTGAAGCCATGGCATGGCTCTGGAGTGAGCTCCAGCTCCTGGGTCAGGGCTGGCTCCTCAGAAACTCATGCCCAACACAGCAGAGGTGGAGCTCACTCCAGAGCCATACCAGGGCTTCACATCCCACTTCCTGTTTCTCACTGTGGCATGGCCCTCCAGCTTCCTGTACAGCTCTGCATTTCCTTGCAGTGCCCATCCATAGCTGAGCTCACACATTACTGCTTTCTCCCTGACGTCCCTGCCAATTTAGGTTTCATGTACTGCCATCTAACAAAGGGTGTTTTTAATTAACGTTAATCAGATGACAGTGTGATTTGTCTCAAAGGCAGGAGTTACCAGCGTAACCACACTGGAGAACATCCAGGAAGAATGACAGAAAGAGGACGCCAAACTTGTGAGTTAAAAGCACCCAAATGCCATTACGTGGCAGTGTGGTCCTCTGGATGTGTACTCCTCACTGCAGGGTTCCAGATGACACAGATCTACCTTCTCTGTGTTCTCTGGCAGTGAAGCAGCAGAACATGTTGCAGCTAACCCTATGCGTGTGTTTGGCTTGCCTTCTGAACTCAAGGTCCCAGGACTTCAAGGTTTCCACTATTTTTTTTGGTTTTATTTTTCCTTCCACTACCTTTTCAAAATTACAGACTCAAAGTAGTGACCTTATTACCCTTTAACTTGCTTGCGCAATGGGTGTGGCCATTATCCTGAACAGCCGTAGTCACTTCTGGGTATTCAGTGGCTTAAGGACAGTGTGTCCTACAGCCAGGGCACCACCTAGCAGACTCTGCAACTCTGAAGGACTTTACATGAATTTGCAGCAGAAGGTACTGGCGCATTGGGGATGCAAGCTGGGTGAAGCATCTCCATGTGAACTCAGTGTGCCAGCAGACCTTCACCATATATCTCATGTGGTAGCTTGGGAACCCCTCTGAGCGGACGTATCAGTGTAAAGCAGACTGTCTCATAGCAAAATGGTCTAGTCAGTATTTCCAGCAAGTGCTAGGGAAGTCTAGAGCTGGTGGCGAGAGGACCGGGATGCTGCTTTGCTGCTGAGCTGTGTTTTGCAGCTGTCTGTGATGTGTAACCAAGGGTTGTAGGAGGTAATTAGTCTACTCTACTCTGCTCTCGGTAGACCTCACTTGGAGTATTGGAGTATATACTTTTGATGTCTTCAACTTAAAAAGGACGTGGAGCTGTTGGGGCGAGTCCAGAGGAGGGCCATGAGGATGACAAGGGGGCTGGAACACCTCCCACATGAAGACAGGCTGAGAAAGTTGCAGCTGTTCATCCTGGAGAAGGCTTTGTCCAGACCTCCTAGCAGCTTCCAGTACCTGAAAGACACCTACAGGGATGCTGGGGAGGGGATTCTTCGTTAGGGACTGTAGTGATAGCACAAGGGGCAATGGCTTCAAACTTAAATAGGGGAAGTTTACGTTAGATGTAGAGATAGAAGTTCTTCACTGTGAAGGTGGTGAGGCCCTGGAATGGGTTGCCCAAGGAAGTTCTCCAACCCTGGCAATGTCCAAGGCCAGGTTGGACACCGTCTTGGGTGGCATGGTTTAGTGCGAGGTGTCCCTGCCCATGGCAGGAGGGTTGGACCTAGATAATTTTAAGGTCCTTTCCAACCCTAACTATTCTATGATTCTGTGATTCTATGGACAGGAAGTGCAGAGGTTGAGGTTTTATCCCATGTCTGCTGCAAAATTGCAAACAGCAAGTGATAACAAGTGCATACGTACACGTGGGATGAAAGGCTGTCACTCAGGCATGAAATGGAGATATACCAGACAGCACATTTCAAAAGACTTGAGCTTAAAGCTGCTTGGAAAAGGGATGGGGAAGAAAGAGAAGACAAATGAGCCAAGACACTTTGCTTTCATAGATCCCCAATGCTTTTTTATTACTCCATAGCTGTGGGAGAGAAGTCAGCTGGGACTGCAAGACCATGGCGTACCTAGGGAACATGCAGTGCCTTTAGGAAGCTGGCTTCGTCTCCCCAGAGGTAGTGGTGTGCTGAGTGACCCTTTCCGCATGGGTCCTGCAGGCCTTCCTGAACTCAGTGCTCATCTTTGAAATACCAGGCTGTGTAAAGGGATGAGTTCTTCTCTGGACAAGGTCTTTTCCGACGTAGTTGGTTATATGATTCTATGACTCATGGTTACCATGTTTCCTGCAGAAGACCAACATCACCTGGTGCTTGCTGTGGACAGAGATCTTTGTATCGGGATGAGAAGAGATCAGAAGAGAGGAGATTTGCTCTCTTCTTACAGATGTTAGGGCCGTTTTGTCTGTGTCGTTCGAGTTCTTTGACACCCAAGAGTGCAAGCGGATCAAATATTTCCACAATGCCCTCTGGCTTCATGTCAGGCCACCAAGACGTGCCTTGGTATCAGGTCTCTGTAAAGCCCAGGCTGGCCTAACCTCTTGCCTTCCCACCAGCTCCCGGAGGACAGCTGGGGAGCAGAGAGGAAGGGCACTGGAAGTCCCAGAGCCACACAGATCCTCAGCTCTGTCTTTTCTAATGTGCAGGAGGACACCTATACCCATCCCGACCAGTGCACCAGAATTACTTGCTTTATGGGGTTTCTGGCTCCACGGAAGAAACCTGCTTTTGCTCTTCCCCATCAGATCACGAGCTTTAGCTCTGTAAAGGGAATGGTTTAGGTGAAATCTGGTACCCCCTGAAAGAACCTGGGAAGCTGGACTCTGACTTTGGAGACAAGGTTTCACTATGGAGAGGTTCTAACCAAAGCCCTGTATGTAGGCAGTTGTGGAGCTTAAGGATATCCAAGTTTGGGATCACACCAGTCTCTGCAGTTTGGGCCTTTCCCTCATTCAACACCATGAGCTATATAATTCCCTATGGCACTTTAGTGATGGAACTTGGTAAAATGCCTTGGTTGCTCGGCAAATCATAGAATCATAGAATCAAGACGTCTCTTTCAGCCTCATCCACCATTGCCTTCCATCCCTTTAACACAGGTGGCCAGTGTTTCTGTCCTGTGTAGAGTCTTGTAATGAGCACTTCACATAAGCAGACATAATTTATTTGTGCTCTCTGTTTCAGGTGAGCCTGCTTATGCCACAGTTGACGGCTACATCCCTAGATGCTGTTGATCCTGTTTGTAGGTTCTCCAGGCAGAAGACACTGTTGGTCTGGCCAGTGTGGTGGTGTTTCCAGTTACTCCCATCTGTGAGAAAAACAGTGTTGCTTTCGCATAACTAGGGATGGGTCTTTACAGTAGTAAGACTTTCCAATCTTAGAGCTGCAGGACTAATAGTGAGGCTTTGCAATAATAAGAGTTTTCAATACTAGGTCTGGCTGTAAGTTCCTAAGGCAATGAAGGAAAGGGTTTGAGATATAATTATTCAAATAGACACGCTTTGTGATTAAAGACAGTGTCATTTCTAGATGAAAGACACAATTTGTGGTTAAAGCGAATACTTTCTAAGTACAGCCTATGAAACTAAACCAGTGCAGGCTGGATAAACTGTAAGCTGTGGTAACTATTTATACCCAGAGTATTATCTTCAACCATACTGGGAATCTCCTTTTCCTGAGTGGAGTGATGTTTGGTTTACAACTGGCTTTAATGGGTGGATCTCACCCAGTGCTTAGAGAAAATCTCTAAAATATAAAGTTAAGATGTTTAAAGGTCACTTAAAATTTGAATGTGGGGTGTTAAGAGTGTGGTCCCATGCACTTGCTATTGCAAGTGCTGGAGGGGCAATAAGCCAAGTTCATGGCCTGGGGGCAGATGTGACAGGAGGGCATTCAATTGCTGGATTTACAAGAGTGGCTTGGAAGACAAAGAGGAAGGAATGTGGCCAGACTGTGGACACTACCATTCCTCCATCGGTGGCAACATGGGCTCCAACAAGTAATCCCAAGATAGTAAATGTAATTGCAATTAAAGTTTTAAAGTAGATGTTTGAAATATGAGAACAGGTATTTCATTAACAGGATGGTTAGAATCCTCATTTGGAAAATGGAGAGCAATGGTGATATCAGTTTTTACTTCCATAATTGTAGTAGCAGGTGTCTGAATAGCTTTATGGGGCTACATAATTATGTATATAGGAAGACGTGTACAACTTCTTGAAACAACTTTGTCCAAAAAAATGATCATGGGACCACCACCCTACTCGGATGAAATGCTTTAGATTAAAAAAAAAAAAATACAAAAAATTTGAAGATGATCAGGACAACTTAACTTTAGACCAAAACTGTGAAGTTATGTTCTCCAGACTGAACGCGACATATGGGGTAAGTCTTTAAAGAAAGTGCAAAAACCAAACCCAGTATAAATAAGAGAAAGGGTGAATTGTGAGAGAAGCGGTGTTTTTTCATAACTGCAGAGGGGGCTTTGGAATATTAAGGCTTTCCAGTATTAGAGCTTCAAGATCAATATTAAGAGTTTACAATATTAAGAGTTTTCAATATTGGGGCTGGTGCTAAGTTACTAAGGGAATGAAACAAGGGGTTTAAGATCCAGTAACTCAAAAAGACACACTCTCACGTTAAAGCCAATGTCATCTCTAGATGAAATATACACTCCTTGGTTAAGAAAAATACTGCCTATGTACAAACTCAGAAGTGCAAGCTGTTTAAACAGTAAGTTGGGGTACCACATGTCTGCCAAAGAGTTGCAAAATTGAACTGGAAAAGGATTATGTGGTTAATACAGATGTGGTTAATAAATAAGAGGAAGGGGCATAAAACTTCCAGTATGGGGAGGTATAAACAGAGGCGGGACAGTTAGCATAGGTTATAAGCACTGAATAGGCTGTAAACCTTGGAGTACCCAACCAACCGGGAAACAAGGGAGGGATCTTGTGGATGGGATAGGAAATACAAATCATAGTTCTGCTTTTGCTCTGTGTGCTGTGCTTGCTAGGACACCCGTTTTTTGCAAAACCATTAATAAAGAGCTGCTTCACTGTTGTGTCTACCCTGAGCTTAAGTTTTTACCTAGAGACCATTTCTCACAGCAGCCACACAGAGCTGAAGTGCTTCTCCGTTTCAGCAAAGTATTTGAGGTCTGAGATAATTATCTGCAAACCCAGAAACTGCCTATTACAAATCTGTGCCTGTGACCAGCAAACTGCTTGGACAGATATGCCATGTTCACACTCGGGGGAAGAAAAGGAGTCTAAGCGATGGACCCAGACGCAGGGGCCATCTGTGTCAGAAGAAGTTTTTGATTTCAAGTTCTTCCAAAGCACAGCCATCTGAAAGAGGCTGGAGATAACCAAGAAGTCATACATGCTGAGGGGAGTGCTGCACAATGCTTTGGGAAACTGGCTAATGTTTAGGGCATATATATCCCACTCAGATCTCAGGTTAAGCTTTTCCCCGTTTCTCATGTCCTTCATTAATAGTGATTAAGCTTGTAATTTAGGTTTCATTTTGGCCACGTCTTTCAGGGAGCTCACTTAGAGGTGCACCAACAATACACTACGTGTCTGGCTTAGCTGTGATTGTGCTTTAGGTTTAAGTGCTGATACTGGAAGGTGATTTGCATCTTGCCTTGTGTAGCAGGCCACAGCACAGCTACCCAGTGAGAGGCTGTGCTGCCACAGACCTGCACCCTGCAGTGTTGCTGAGGATCTGGAGAAGTTGGTTAGCTCTTCAACCACCTCTCCAATGAGGGGCTTGCAGATTTTTAGGTTCATGGTGTAGCGCATGCCTGGTAGGCTCTGCAGACTCTCATTTGATTAACTTCTGGTAAAGAAGTCCCTTGGACTTGTTGTGCCTATGCACCACTGGAAATAAACTTAGTTATTAATGTTGGGCTGGAGCCCTGAAACTCATTTCCTGACCATATCTCCCAAAGTTCTTGCTTTTTTTGTTACCATATATGTGCTCACGGCATTGATTCAGAAACTCGTGTGCCGCAGGGCTCCTGGTCTCCCTCATATCCTCATGTGCAGCATTGCTTAAGAAGCTCCTCAGTGCCTTATGATACAGGGATGGAGGAGAAGGGGACCAGCACACAGTTCAGCTGTTTAAACCTGGTGCCAGGTGCCTTAACATTGGAGCAACGGGAGCTTCTGATGTATGATTTTATGATTCTATGATATTCTTCAAGTTGAATCTCTGTGACTTCAGTGCATGTGTAAGCCAAACAGTCCCCAGAGCTTTTACTGTATTTCCATGTGCAGAGTAGATGGCAGTGAGCTTAAATATCTCTCCTGATGGACTGTGCAAAGGGCACATGCCAAGGAATCGGTTGTCCATTTACATTTCTGAAAGACCAAGTGTCGAAATATTCTCCTGAAGGACCCTGCTGTAGTCTTAGTTCTCACACACATCTTTTATGATTAAGTTTTGAGACTTGTGTGGTGGCTATCTTTCTTCTGAAAGATGCCATACTGACATTTTTGTCTAGGCTAGGGCTGGTACACCTTCAAAGCACCCTAGGATGTTCAAGTTCCTTCTCCTGGGAGGAAGCCTATAAGAGCATATCCTTCCTCAGCCTTTACTTCCTACTTGCTCAATACCACGACAGCTCTGGGAGAGAACACACCAAGACTTTAGCCTCCACAGAGGCCCCTACGTTCAGGCTGAGTTTCCTCACAGGCCTCTCTAGAGGGGTTTGTCCCCCTCCCAGATACCCATAAAAGTGAAGGGCCTATTAAGAGACCGTGATAACCAGCTGCATAGATCCCGCCTCCCCCCCTAGGGACAGAGAGGCCACAGCTGTTTTAATAAGACAACATAAGTACAGGGAGACATGTAGCATGTAAATCTTATGTCCCGTCAGATGGTGGGCATCCTGCCTTCAGGCGGAGTTAAAGGAATTCCTTTTTGGTAATACGAGCTAATACATAAAGCATCACAGGAATGTAGCATTACTCACGAAGGAAGTTTACATGAGAACTTCTTGCTGCATTTCCAGATACAGGCAGGGCCAGGCAGCTGGTGTGTCAGTATCAGGCAGGAGCTGCCCATGAACCCCGTTACCAGGAGGTGGCAAAGCTCACCCTGCAGCCACAGGGCTTGGGCAATGCAGACCAGCCGCGTGCCTGCTCAGGGGATCACCAGCTCTGTAATGTGTAATGGGCTCCTGGTCAGGATCATCTCTGCCTTGACCCACACACAATTTACCTTTCCTACAGGTATTATAAATGACAGATGATGTTGACAACAAAGGGTCTTCTCAAGGCCAAAGTACAAGGCCTAAGAGAGTGGACATTACCTGTTCAAGATCATTAGGTCTTTGACTACAATGTCTTCTGCAAGGAGGGACTGAGCTCTGCAGGGACTCATCCATCTGGGGACTGGCTGAAATCACTTCTGCTCCAGTGGGGCATGGCCTGGGCTCCAGCGGTGGCTCCCTGGGGCAGCTGAGCACCTGAGTAGGGATCAAAAGGGTCAGTGACGCCTGGTCCCCCAGGCTGAGACTGGAGCCCTGCTGTGGCTGGAGATGTCTCAGGCACTGCACACAGGCTGCCCCGCTCCGGTGGCACTTCCGGGTCCTGCTACTGCACAAGTAGAAAGAAGAGAACTCACACTGCCCAGCCTCCGTAGTAGGGGCTTGGTTTCTTACCTCGCATTCCCTGTAGCAGCAGCTTGACCTCCCCACAGACACCTGGCCTTGCCCCAGACTCTTATGGAGGAGATTCCCTCCCCACCCCCCTTCACCCGGGGGCATTATAGGAGAGCCTGGCCCCTCCACAGGTCCGTAGAAGGGAACCTGGCCTCCTCCTAGGCTCTTATAGATGAGCCTTGCCTCCCTGCCAGTCCTTTTAGGGGAAGCCTGGCCACTCCCTTATAGAGAAGTTTGGATTCTTCTCCGGTTCCTAGAGATGATCCTGGCCTCCCATCTGATTCTCAGTAGGAGAACTTATCTCCCTCCCAGGCTCCTATAGAGGAGCTTGGCCTCCACACAGCACTTCATAAAGAACTCTGTTTCCCCACAGGCCCTTATAGGAGTGCCGACCCTCATCTCAAACACTTATGCAGGAGCCTGGACTCCCCACAGGATCCTATGGCATAATCCGACCTCCCCCCACACCCTTACAAAGGAACCTGGCCTTCCCATATCTGAGCCTATATGTGAGCCTACCCCAAGCCCGCTCCCCTCCTGACAGGGGACCTGCCTCACCCAGGCCTGGCGGCCATGCTCCGGCTCCCAGCTCTGCGTTCTGTGCTGAGTCCTTCCGTGCTTCACGTAGCCACCGCGCTGCTGACTGGAGGGGAGCGGGTGGGGGCGGTGTCAATCTTCCCCCGCTTCCGCCCGCAGTAGCCGTGGCTGCGGCTTGGTGGTGCTGCAGAGTATGGCCATGGCGGAGGCCGTGAGGGGGCCCCACAAGGCCCGCCCCAAGAGCAGTCCCAAGGTCTGGGGGGAAGGCGGGGATTGGCTCCGGGTGAGGTTCCGCCGGTCCTCGTCCGGGCTGGCTCCGCCGCCTCTCGGCTGTGGTGGGTCCGGCGAGCTTAGAGCGGAAGGGAGGAGTCTGTGGGGTTGTTACATGCCATGGTGTGTTCGTCAGCACTATGTCTCGTGTTTGGGGCTATTCCTGAGTGGGTTTAAAGCGGCAGAGAGGTCCGCTGCAGGCCGTGTTTGTGTCCGTGTTTGTTTGTCTGCTGCTGGAAGCGGTTAGATCGGGGGGTGTGTGCCTATTTAAAAACACATGTCCCATCCCTGGCACTGTTCAAGGCCAGGCTGGACAGGGCTTAGTGCAACCTGGTCTAGTGGAAGGTGTCACTGCCTACGTTTCAGTACTTGTGGAATGATCTGAACTGAAATGTCTTAGCACATAGCTGTGTCAAACTGAAATCATAGAATCACAGAATAGTTAGGGTTGGAAAGGACCTTAAGATCATCAAGTTCCAACCCCCTGCCATGGGCAGGGACACCTCGCTCTAATCCATGTCACCAAAGGCCATGGACAACCTGGCCTTGAACACTGAAAGGGATGGAGCATTCACAACCTCCCTGGACAACCTATTCCAGTGCCTCACCACCCTAACAGGAAAGAATTTCCTCCTTATATCCAATCTAAACTTCCCCTGTTTAAATTTTAACCCATTACCCTTGTCCTATCACTAAAGTCCCTAATGAAGACTCCCTCCCCAGCATCCCTATAGGCCCCCTTTAGATACTGGAAGGTTGCTCTGAGGTCTCCACTCAGCCTTCTTTTCTCCTGTACGAACAGCCCCAACTTTCTCAGCCTATCTTCATATGGGAGGTGCTTCAGTCCCCTGGTCATCCTCATGGCCCTCCTCTGGAATTGTTCCAACAGTTCCATGTCCTTTTTATGTTGAGGACACCAGAATTGCACACGATAGTCCAAGTGAGGTCTCACAAGAGTAGAATAAAGGGGCAGGATCACCTCCTTCGACCTGCTGGTCACACTCCTTTTGATGCAGCCCAGGATACAGTTGGCTTTCTGGGCTGCAGTTGCACACTGCCGGCTCATGTTCACTTTCTCATCGACCAGCAGCCCCAAGTCCTTCTCCGCAGGGTTCATCTGAATCTCTTCTCTGCCCAGCCTGTAGCTGTGCCTGGGATTGCTCCGACCCAGGTGTGGGACCTTGCACTTGGCATGGTTAAACTTCATGAGGTTGGCATCAGCCCACCTCACAAGCGTGTCAAGGTCCCTCTGGATGGCATTCTTTCCCTCCAGCGGATCAACCGAACCACACAGCTTGGTGTCATTGGCAAACTTGCTGAGGGCGAGCTCAATCCCACTGTCCATGTCAGCAATAAAGATGTTAAACAAGACCGGTCCCAACACCGATCCCTGAGGAACACCGTTTGTTACTGGTCTCCAGCTGGATATTGAGTCATTGACCACAACTCTTTGTGTGTGGCCATCCCACCAGTTCTTTATCCTCCGACTAGTCCATTCATCAAATTGATGTCTCTCCAATTTAGAGACAAGGATGTTGTGTTGGGACAGTGTTGAACGCTTTACACAAGTCCAGGTAGATGACATCAACTGCTCTACCGCTGTCCATCAGTTCTGTAGCCCCATCATAGAAGGCCACCAAATTGGTCAGGCAGGATTACCCCTTAGTGAAGCCATGCTGGCTGTCACCAAGCACCTTGTTGATTTTCATGTGCCTTAGCATGCCTTCCAGGAGAATGTGCTCCAAGATTTTGCCAGGCACAGAGGTGAGACTGACTGGTCTGTAATTTCCCGGGTCATCCATTTCCCCCTTCTTGAAAATGGGGGTTATATTTCCCTTTTTCCAGTTGTCCGGAACTTCACCTGACTGCATGATTTTTCAAATATGATGGCCAGCAGCTTAGCAACTTCACTTGCCAGCTCCTTCAGGACCCATGGATGGATTTCATCAGGACCTATGGACTTGTGCACGTTCAGATTTTTAAGATGGTCTTAAACCAGTTCCTCTCCTACGGTGGGCCCAAGGTCTTCATTCTCAAATGAAGAATGTTTCTCTTAATAGCCTATCCTCCTCCACGTTGTACACTGCACCCTGGAGAGCAACGGCAGTGAAGTCCTGGCTGTCAAAGCCATTTGAGAATAAATTGGTGAATTAATTGACCACTGTTGTGGAAAACAAGGGTCAGATCTAAGTGTCAACTATGGCTGTGATTCCAGAGCGAGTTTTATTTTGTGTTTTATTTTTCCCCTGGAGGTGTTTCGAAGATGTGCAGATGTGGCACTTTGGGACACGATCTAGCGGTGGATTTGGCAGTGTAGGGTAAACGGCTGGACTCAGTAATCTTAAAAGTCTTTTCCAGCCTAAATGATTCCACACTTCTAATCAGAGCATCTGCAAGATGATGCTTTGGCCACCTTACATTGTCCCTTCATTTCCATGTACACATGGCAGGCAGCATCCCAACCCTGAGGGCTGGCGCTCTGCTCTCCTGTGCTGAGTGCACTCTCTGCCACAGCCACATTTGTCTGCTGCTCTGACTCTTGGTGAACCTCCCCAGCATGGCTCTGCTGTTGAAGCAGCTGGCTATTGATAGCTGTGGGTTTGAAACAGCTCTGGGTCTTGAAGTGTGAGCTACACTTTGCATATGGCCCTTGATGAGCTTGCTGGGGTGCTGTTCTGCAGTATAGCCACTCACTTTCAGCAGGATGAGCCTGATGTTTTTTTAGTGTCAGTTTTTCTGTAGACCAGCTTGACTGTGTGCTAAGCTGCGGCAACTCTTTGCTTCAGGTTGCTGTGTGTCGAAACCTGGCTGAATTCTTTGGGGTGAGGGGCAGATGTGACTGTGCTTGCTTGCTGAACTTCTTGATACCAGTTTTCTTACACTGAAAGGTGCCCCCCTGCAGGACTGACGCTAACATAGCTAATGCTGCATCAAAATTCCTGCTGTTTTTGTATGTTTCTGGAAATGGAGGTGTACTGTGGGGTCAGTTTGATGTCAGCTACAGCAGGTGAATTGAGCAACAGTCTTTTCATGTATGTATGTATGTGTGTGTATATATATATATATGTATATTTGTGTGTATCTATATATATGAAACTTTCTTTTCCTTGCAGAGGTAGTGGGGGGAAAGGTCAGATCTACTTGCCAGAAGCCCTTTGGGAAGAAGCAAAGAAAATGGAGGAATTCAAGGAAAAGCAGAAACTGTATTGGAAGAAGGTCAGGGTGTTCATCCATCACCATGCTTGGGGATGGATCCTGGCTCCTGGCTTGTTTCTCCCACCATGTCCCCACCCCCTGCATGCTCCCAGTGCCTGCCGCTGCTGGGATTTCCTGAGTTCCTTCCTATATGTTGAAGCCCTGTTCCTGAACCTCTGACTTCCTTCATCTGACCACCACATCTTCTTGTTTGGGTGCTTTTTAGGGCTGGCTATTGCAGGGGTCACATCCAGAGACACCAGCCTCAACCAGGATTGGTCTTAAAGCATATGTACATAAATCATATATATATGGTGTTGTGTGATGTCCATAGGGACATCATTGGCAATCCTGTTAACCTCTGCTGGCTTGAGATTCCTTTGTCTGGAAAATGAGAGAAAACTGCTGCAAGTTTGGACATAACAGAAGGGAGTTGGCTTCCCAATTTCCCTAGATTCTATGGAGATGATACAGTACTATATATTGGTGGATTTCATTTGTAGAGTTCCATTTCACGGACAGGTGTAGGCTTCTCTAGAAGTGTAAAAGGTGGGTTTTGTTTTGATGGTTTAGGTGGACATAGGTCCTTAAGGCCATCTGAATTTGGCCTGTGCCTCTTCCTTTCCTAAGCCACATAGTCCATCGTGGAGCTTCGATGGTCAGTGATGTGTTGACTCTGTTGTCTTCAGAGATAGAACTGATAAAGAAGGCGACTCAGAAAACCAGGAATCTGCAGTACAAGAAGACCATGGTGGTAAAGCAAACATGCTGCTCTTTCTTGCCTTATTGTTCAACACTGCTAACATACGTGCACAGTGCTGGTGCAGTCTTAAATACGAGGGTCTTCCTCTGCTGCAACTCATGCAGAAACTACATCAAAGGCT